AAAAAGGGAGAGCAGCTGGGTGCAGGTGGAGAGGGTGATAAGTCAAATGCAGAGGCACAACCATGCTACCAAGAGCCACTGGAAAAAACAAGGGAGAAAATGACCACGTACAGACAGGAACCAGAGTCACAGAGGGAGAGGCAGTGGGAGGAGGAAAGAGCAAAATCAGTGTTTATCCATGGGCTTCAGGAGAGGAAAGGACACACACTGAAAGACAGCAGGCAGAAAGAAAGGAGATTGAGAACATCATCACGGAAATAGGTGAAGAAGACATGGACAAGATTGTAAATTTTCACAGAATAGGGGGTACTCGAAGGGGAGAAAACGACCAATCAAGCTGATTCTCAGGATTGAAACAGTGTGGAACAGGATCCTCCAAGAGAAGCCACGGTTGAAACACTCGGGAAAGTACAAGAGGGTGTTCCTAGACAGAGACAGAACACAAACAGAACGACAGCAGCTGAGGGAGATGACAAAAATGCGAAAGGAGCTACGAAAGGAGACAAGGATGGAACCAGCAGAGGTCAATCAGAGCAGAACAGAGCAGCAAGGGCAAGCACACACAGAACTATCCTCAGAACACCATCCCAACACAAACTACAATCCACACTCACAGCTTCCACCCAACACCCAGCTATAGAATCCCACAGTATGCTACCAGGTCTCCCACCCTCACAGGCCCCCCAAACCACAGTGTTGGAAAGGAAACTGAAGGTATGGTACACAAACGCTGATGGAATAACAAATAAGTGGGAGGAGTGGCACGAAAGAGTCAAAGAGGCATCACTGGACATCATAGCTCTCACAGAAACCAAGCTAGGTATGATAACAATGGGATACCAGATCCTGTGCCACCCCTCCAACCCCCCCTGTTACCTCTGTAACAGGGGGGGTTGGAGGGGTGGCACTCTTGATCAAAAACCAATGGAATTTTGATGAGCTGGAGAGAGGAGACAGCAGAGAAGGAATCGATTACATAGCGGGAACACTTCACTCTGGAGGTCCCAAGGTGGTAATTACAGTGATGTATAACCCACCACAGAACAGCAGGAGGCCAAGGCAAGAGTATGACGAGAGCAATAGAGTGATGGTTGACACACTGGCTGCAGTGGCCAGAAGAGCTCATGCATACAGAGCAAAGCTCCTGATCATGGGTGACTTTAACCACAAGGAGATCGATTGGGAGAACTTGGAGCCACATGGGGGCCAAGACACAGGGAGGGCTCTAGATGATGGAGGTGGTACTGGAAAACTTCATGTACCAACATGATGATGAACCAGCAAGACTGGATCTAGTATTCACCTTGAGTAGTGCAGATATTGAGAACATCACATATGAAAGACCCCTTGGGGCCAGCAATCATGTGGTTTTAAGCTTCGAATACACAGTAGAGCTACAAGTGGAGGGGGAAGCAGGAAGGCCAGGATGAATGAAGCCAAACTACAAGAAAGGGGACTACACGAGAATGAGGAACTTCCTGAACGGGGTTCAGTGGGACAGAGAACTGGCAGGAAAGCCAGTTAATAAGATGATGGAATATGTAGCAACAATGTGCAAGGAGGCTGGGAGGTTTGTACCCAAGGGTAACAGGATTAATGAAAAAGCCAGGATGAGCCCATGGTTCACCCAAAGGTGCAGGGAGGCAAAAACCAAGTGTGCTAGGGAATGGAAGAAATATAGAAGGCAAAGGACCCAGGAGAATAAAGAGAGCAGTCATAGAGCCAGAAATGAATATGCACAGATAAGAAGGGAGGCCCAACGACAATATGAAAACGACATAGCAGCAAAAGCCAAATCTGACCCGAAGCTGTTATAATGCCACATCAGGAGGAAAACAACAGTCAAGGACCAGGTAATCAGGCTAAGGAAGGAGGAAAGACGACAAGAAATGACCGTGAAGTATGTGAGGAACTCAACTAGAGATTCAAAGAAGTGTTCACAGAGGAGACAGAAGGGGCTCCAGAAAGACGGAGAGGTGGGGCACACCACCAAGTGCTGGACACAGTACACACAACCGAGGAAGAAGTGAAGAGGCTTCTGAGTGAGCTAGATACCTCAAAGGCAATGGGGCCGGATAACATCTCTCCATGGGTCCTGAGGGAGGGAGCAGAGGCGCTATGTGTACCCCTAACAACAATATTCAATACATCTATCGAAACAGGGAGATTGCCTGAGGCATGGAAGACAGCAAATGTAGTCCCAATCTTTAAAAAAGGAGACAGACATGAAGCACTAAACTACAGACCAGTGTCACTGACATGTATAGTATGCAAAATCATGGAGAAGATTATCAGGAGAAGAGTGGTGGAACACCTAGAAAGGAATGATCTCATCAACAGCAGCCAACATGGTTTCAGGGACTGGAAATCCTGTGTCACAAACCTACTGGAGTTCTATGACATGGTGACAGCAGTAAGACAAGAGAGAGAGGAGTGGGTGGATTGCATATTATTGGACTGCAAGAAGGTGTTTGACACAGTTCCACACAAGAGATTAGTGAAAAAACTGGAGGACCAAGCAGGGATAACAGGGGAGGCACTACAATGGATCAGGGAATACTTGTCAGGAAGACAGCAGCGAGTCATGGTACGTGGCGAGGTGTCAGAGTGGGCACCTGTGACCAGCGGGGTCCCACAGGGGTCAGTCCTAGGACCAGAGCTGTTTCTGGTATTTGTGAAAGACATGACGGAAGGAATAGATTCCGAAGTGTCCCTGTTTACAGATGACGTGAACTTGATGAGAAGAGTTCATTCGATCGAAGACCAGGCAGAACTACAAAGGGATATAACAGGCTGCAGACCTGGTCCAGCAATTGGCTACTGGAGTTCAACCCCACCAAGTGCAAAGTCATGAATATTGGGGAAGGGCAAAGAAGACCGCAGACGGAGTACAGTCTAGGGGGCCAGAGACTACAAACCTCACTCAAGGAAAAAGATCTTGGGGTGAGTATAACACCAGGCACATCTCCTGAAGCGCACATCAACCAAGTAACTCCTGCAGCATATGGGCGCCTAGCAAACCTCAGAACAGCATTCCGACATCTTAATAAGGAATCGTTCAGAACCTTGTACACCGTGTACGTTAGGCCCATATTGGAGTCTGAAGCACCAGTTTGGAACCCACACCTAGCCAAGCACGTAAAGAAACTAGGTTTGCAACAAGACTAGTTACAGAGCTAAGAGGTATATCCTACGAGGAGAGGTTAAGGGAAATCAACCTCACGACACTGGAGGACAGGAGAGATAGGGGGGACATGATAACGACATACAAAATACTGAGAGGAATTGACAAGGTTGACAAAGGCAGGATGTTCCAGAGATGGGACACAGCAACAAGGGGACACAGTTGGAAGTTGAAGACGCAGATGAATCACAGGGATGTTAGGAAGTATTTCTTCAGTCACAGAGTAGTCAGGAAGTGGAATACTTTGCGAAACGATGTAGTGGAGGCAGGATCCATACATAGCTTTAAGCAGAGGTATGATAAAGCTCACGGTTCAGGGAGAGTGACCTAGTAGCGACCAGTGAAGAGGCGGGGCCAGGAGCTTGGAATCGACCCCTGCAACCTCAACTAGGTGAGTACAACTAGGTGAGTACACTCTTTCTGACTCTGAGGCCGGCTGAGCAGCTCCCTACATTGGGTGTGCTGACGTCACACAGGGTACTGCCGATCTGTAACAACCATAGCAGCACCCAAGTGGTCAGCCAACCACCTCCCTTTATTTGTTTCTTTCTGGGTTCACAACCGTGGCGGTGCTGATGTAATGTATGGTGGTGCTGATGCCTTACATGAATCCATCAGTGAAGTCAAACGTATTTTGTGTCCTGAACAATAAACAGTAAGTCTCGTATATTATCCAGAATCACGACATGTGCTGAGAGAGGCCGGAGTGTGATCGTATTGGTTCTGTTAGGAAGAAGCAAGATGGGACTTTCCTTACATTAGGAAGAGGCAAGACGGGACCTTCCTTCCATTAGGAAGAGGGAAGATGAGACCTTCCTTCCATTAGGAAGAGGGAAGATGAGAGCTTCCTTCAATTAGGAAGAGGGAATATGGGAGCCTTCTTTAACTAGGAAGAGGGAAGATGAGAACTTCCTTCCACTAGGATGAGGGAAGACGAGAGCTTCCTTCCATTAGGAAGAGGGAAGTTGAGAACTTCATTCCATTAGAAAGAGGGAAGATGAGAGCTTCATTCCATTAGAAAGAGGGAAGATGAGAGCTTCATTCCATTAGGATGAGGGAAGATGAGAGCTTCCATCTATTAGGCTGAGGGAAGATGAGAGCTTCCTTCCATTAGTATGAAGGAAGATGAGAGCTTCTTTCCATTAGGAAGAGGGAAGATGTGAGCTTCTTTCAACTAGTAAGAGGAACACGCGAGCTTCCTTCCATTTTACATCTGTCTCCGCGTAAACATGATCATTAAAATGCTTTGAAAAAATAAATCGACTTGGTGAAACAACAAAAACAGATGTTTTCTCCGTGGAATTATATTCTATGTATTCCAAACAACAACGATCGTCTGAGCTGTACCTTCACTTTCTGTTATCATTTACAAAGCACCTTCGATCGTCTCATGTAGTGTATTCTGCGCCTCCTTCGAGACAGATGATTGCGAAGAGTCTTCAGAATATCTCTCCATTAAACAATGAACGGTTTAAAAACTGCTGTGAAGAATTTATTGTGGTAAATTGGCTGTTGCATTGTCACCTGAGATTGACTGTAGCTGGTGACGATTCACATAATTCTGTCTCGAATTACGGACTTCTTTAGATTCAGTTAATATTTTATGTAGTTTGTTACTAGATATCCCTCTTCCGTTGTCTAATAAGGAGAAAATAAAGTTGTTCAGAATTCACATTCCACAGTTGCTGTAGTACCTTATTTTAGTGACTAATAAAGATGTTTTTGTTACGTCGTACATGTGAAATGCATCGTTAATGACCCACTTGTAGTCAATAAGCATATTGGAGTAAGTGTTGCAGTTAATCAGCGTACTAACCTGTTGTTAAAATGCCGAGAATCACCGGTAAGTCGTGGCCACAGACTCCAAGATACCAGTCACGCTGCCACAACCGCCACAACACTGCCAACTTATATCACATACACCCATCTTTATAAACCATGGCGCCATCCTACTGACATACCGGCCCTAAACTGTCACGCCCGATTCTCCAACACTTGCGCCATCTCTAGCTACCATACTCCAAGGTCAAGTCTAGATACCCCACCACGTCATGACTTGCTACCCCACACCGACGTCATGTCTTGCTACCCAACACCAATGTCATGCCTCTCATGTCTTTAATTCCTCAATTTTTCCAAAGGGGAGTAACTGAAATTTGTCCTCGTTGAACTTTATATTGTTGTCATAGGTACACTGGAAGACTTGCTTTATATCAGCTCGGAGGTTTGCTGTGTCCTCGATGGACGTCATTCTCATGCAGATTGTAGTATTATCACCAAAGGATGAAACAATACGGTGATTTGTGTCCCTGTCTATGTTGGATGTAAGAATGGGAAAGAGATGTGGGGCGAGTATTCTTCTGTGAGGAACACAGCCTATTACTGTGGAGGTCTCTGATTTTACTACGTGTACTATTATTCTCGAGTCCTGTTGGTGAAGAAGTTAAATATCCGTCTGCTCACTTTTCCAGTTAGTGCTTTTACACGCATTTTATGAGCTGTTGCACCGTGGTTGTTGCACCGTGGTTGTTGCACCGTGGTTGTTGCACCGTGGTTGTTGCACCGTGGTTGTTGCATTTGTCGAGGGCTTTTGCTAAGTCAGTGTGTGGAAAGACATGTACAGATCAGGTCATATATTAGAGGAAACGTTTCGCCCCAAGAGACTAAACGTTTCCTCTAATAATTACCTGATCTGTTCATAAGTGTCTTTTTTTTCATATCTTACCAGTACCGTCATACCATTTTTTACTAAGTCAATGCACACTACATTTGCTTTTAGCTTACCTTCAGTAAACTGAGTTTACTTTGGGTCAGGAGATAATGTTGTATCCTGATACATAACCCACCACCTCAATCCGGTACAGGCTTCTTTAATAATGAAAAGGTGTATTTATTAAATATTTACCGAAAAAAAATTAAATTCAGCAAATGTAAATAAATACAACGCAAAATATGTTGTGCTAATATAAGTAAGTGAAGGATGATGTTCTTTTTTTGACCAAAAATATGATCAGAGGAAGAACGATCCGATAACACCTGTGTACAGATGATATCGGATCAGGGTGCAGTATTAATTCTGGTGAAAGGCTCTTCATCCGAGAAATGGAACTACTCTTCTCGTCCTTGGATCAAACCTGATTAATGCCGCAGCAGTGGGGATACAAACAGTTGGTGAGGAGGAGGTTGTAGGGCCCGGTGTGCAGCGCAGGAGGGAAGAGTCCGTGATGCCTGCTTTGCAACGAGTAGTAATTATTAATCCTGTCAGCGGGACTGAAGTATCATGTCCAGACCTGACCAGGTAAGCGATGTGGCAGAAATTAAGGCGGGTAGCAATTGAGAGGTAGAGCAAAAAAGCCGGAACAGAAAATCTCCAGATCAACGCCTGCAGGCTGAGACTGAGGACACTCGATAAGGGTTCTCTGTAGCCTTCCCAAGAGACCCAGGTGAACTGTGATAGCTAAAAGTCCACGCATCATTCACAAGAGGCAGGAAAGTCATACTCTTTATTGCCACCTTTAGACCGATTCTGGCCAGAGAAAGAAAGAAGAGTAATGTAACAGACGATGTGAATAATAGGTCTCCCAGTCCAGGAGGCTGAAAACATAGGTCCATCAGACCAGAAGGTTGGAAACATGCATATTGCAGACCAGAAAGCTGGAAATATGAATTCCTCAGACCAGAAGGCTGGAAATGTGGATTCCACAAACCAGAAGACTGGAAACATGGATTCTTCGGACCAGAAGGTTGGAAACATGGATTTCTTGGACCAGAAGGCGGTAAACAGATTCCTCAGACCAGAAGGCTGGAATCATGGATTCTTCAGACCAGAAGGTTGGGAATTCTGTACGTGTTTTATGATGATGGACGCCACTGTGAAAAAGGGATTCTGTAACTGGCTATGATTGCTTACCCAGATCGATCAGTGTAAACTATTACCTTGTATGCTCATCCAGTAAGCTAATGCGCGAGGCTACCATTGACGTATTTATGTATTTTAACAAATAGCATACTTAGTTTTGTTTTTTGTCTGTTTTGCGCTATGGTAATTGGCCTTGAAGAAAAGGATTAATGCTTAGCTATTTTGTATATCCCCTAAAAGCATTTTAAATAAAAAACTTCTAGAGTCGACAAATATTCGAGAAAAGTATGCGAGGCTGTGGAGGTGTCGATAAATCCATATAAATTAGGGCAGCAAGTTAAGTATAGTTACGTGTGTGTTCTTAAGAAACAGAACTGGGCGTTATGGGTTCTGAATGTTCTAGGAAGGACAAGAAGCTGGCATAATGTGAGTTCGTGCCGACAGGAGTAGAACCCACGGATGAACTGATGTACTACTACCATGGCAAGCAGTGTGTGGCACTGCTACCATGGCAGGCAGTGTGTGGTACTGCTACCATGGCAGGCAGTGTGGTACTGCTACCATGGCAGGCACTGTGTGGTACTGCTACCATGACAGGCAGTGTGTGGTACTGCTACCATGGCAGGCAGTGTGGTACTGCTACCATTGCAGGCAGTGTGTGGTACTGCTACCATGGCAGGCAGTGTGTGGTCCTGCTTCCATGACAGGCAGTGTGTGGTACTGCTACCATGGCAGGCAGTGTGTGGTACTGCTACCATGGCAGGCAGTGTGTAATATTGCTACCATAACAGGCAGTGTGTGGTACTGCTACCATGGCAGGCTGTGTGTGGTACTGTTACCATGACAGGCAGTGTGTGGTACTGTTACCATGACAGGCAGTGTGTGGTACTGTTATCATGACAGGCAGTGTGTGGTACTGCTACCATGACAGGCAGTGTTTGGTACTGCTACCATGACAGGCAGTGTGTGTGGTACTGCTACCATGACAGGCAGTGTGTGGTACTGCTACCATGACAGGCAGTGTGTGGTACTGCTACCATGACAGACAGTATGTGGTACTGCTATCATGTCTGGCAGTGTGTGGTACTGCTGCCATGACAGGCAGTGTGTGGTACTGCTGCCATGACAGGCAGTGTGTGGTACTGCTACCATGACAGACAGTATGTGGTACTGCTACCATGTCAGGCAGTGTGTGGTACTGCTGCCATGACAGGCAGTGTGTGGTACTGCTGCCATGACAGGCAGTGTGTGATACTGCTGCCATGACAGGCAGTGTGTGGTACTGCTACCATGACAGGCAGTGTGTGGAAACTGCTACCATGACAGGCAGTGTGTGGTACTGCTACCATGACAGACAGTATGTGGTAGTGCTACCATGTCAGGCAGTGTGTGGTACTGCTGCCATGACAGGCAGTGTGTGGTACTGCTGCCATGACAGGCAGTGTGTGGTACTGCTGCCATGAAAGGCAGTGTGTGGTACTGCTACCATGACAGGCAGTGTGTGGTACTGCTACCATGACAGGCAGTGTGTGGTACTGCTACCATGACAGGCAGTGTGTGGTACTGCTACCATGACAGGCAGTGTGTGGTACTGCTACCATGACAGGCAGTGTGTGGTACTGCTACCATGACAGGCAGTGTGTGGTACTGCTACCATGACAGGCAGTGTGTGGTACTGCAACCATGACAGAACAGTATGGGGTTTATGCTACCATGTCAGGCAGTGTGTGGTACTGCTGCCATGACAGGCAGTGTGTGGTACTGCTGCCATGACAGGCAGTGTGTGGTACTGCTGCCATGACAGACAGTATGTGGTACTGCTACCACGGCAGGCAGTGTGTGGTACTGCTACCACGGCAGGCAGTGTGTGGTTCTGCTACCATGGCAGGCAGTGTGGTACTGCTACCATTGCAGGCAGTGTGTGGTACTGCTACCATGGCAGGCAGTGTGTGGTCCTGCTTCCATGACAGGCAGTGTGTGGTACTGCTACCATGGCAGGCAGTGTGTGGTACTGCTACCATGGCAGGCAGTGTGTAATATTGCTACCATGACAGGCAGTGTGTGGTACTGCTACCACGGCAGGCAGTGTGTGGTACTGCTACCATGGCAGGCTGTGTGGTACTGCTACCATGGCAGGCAGTGTGTAATACTGCTACCATGACAGGCAGTGTGTGGTACTGCTACCACGGCAGGCAGTGTGTGGTACTGCTACCATGACGGGCAGTGTGTGGTACTGCTACCATGGCAGGCAGTGTGTGTGGTACTGCTACCATGACAGTGTGTGGTACTGCTACCACGGCAGGCAGTGTGGTACTGCTACCATGGCAGGCAGTGTATGGTACTGCTACCATGGCAGGCTGTGTGTGGTACTGTTACCATGACAGGCAGTGTGTGGTACTGTTACCATGACAGGCAGTGTGTGGTACTGTTATCATGACAGGCAGTGTGTGGTACTGCTACCATGACAGGCAGTGTTTGGTACTGCTACCATGACAGGCAGTGTGTGTGGTACTGCTACCATGACAGGCAGTGTGTGGTACTGCTACCAAGACAGGCAGTGTGTGGTACTGCTACCATGACAGACAGTATGTGGTACTGCTACCATGTCTGGCAGTGTGTGGTACTGCTGCCATGACAGGCAGTGTGTGGTACTGCTGCCATGACAGGCAGTGTGTGGTACTGCTACCATGACTGGCAGTGTGTGGTACTGCTACCATGACAGGCAGTGTGTGATACTTCTACCATGACAGGCATGTGTGGGTACTGCTAGCATGACAGACAGTATGTGGTACTGCTACCATGTCAGGCAGTGTGTGGTACTGCTGCCATGACAGGCAGTGTGTGGTACTGCTGCCATGACAGGCAGTGTGTGATACTGCTGCCATGACAGGCAGTGTGTGTGGTACTGCTACCATGACAGGCAGTGTGTGGTACTGCTACCATGACAGGCAGTGTGTGGTACTGCTACCATGACAGACAGTATGTGGTAGTGCTACCATGTCAGGCAGTGTGTGGTACTGCTGCCACGGCAGGCAGTGTGTGGTACTGCTGCCATGGCAGGCAGTGTGTGGTACTGCTACCACGGCAGGCAGTGTGTGGTACTGCTGCCATGGCAGG